AGACCTGTCAAACCGAAGTGTTCACTTGTACAATTTCGCAGGTTCACAAGAGTTCACAGAATGGGACCTCTTATTTAACATGGAGTAGCACTAGCGAAGGTGCGAAATGCCACTTCCAAGCCGATATACGCCAGAGAGCGTTCTATCGGCTGAGATCAGTCAGTCACGCTCACTCTATCGACATCATCTTCCTTCCTTACTCTATTAGAGACACATTTCCCGCTGGCTGGACTGAGCCTCCCCATTGAAACGCTCCTCCTTTTCACCGTGTTCCAAAACTGCCCATGCGAGCAGCATGGTCAGTTTTGGAACACGGTGGAACACGCTGAACGCGCTAAAAATCCCACCCCGAGTAATAAAACGAGATGTGCCGACATTGGAACCAAATTTTTGAAGGACATTGCGGATTTTTTGGATAATCGAATTTTTAGGTCCCCACGTCAAAACCTCAGATGAAACATACGGTCACCAACATTCTTGGTACGTCAAACAAGGTGAATGTTGACCCGTTGAATCATCGAAATTCATCGCCATTCCAATTTGTCAAAAAGGAGAACACCTTGCCGTAAGTTCTTCGTTCACAGTTGGATAAGAAACACCCATAATAAAAAAAACTTCGATTCTAAGGGCAGTAAACTACGCTAATCTAAACATTTCTGGGAGTCTCATTTGAACTCGTACGGTAAATTTTGCAGCAGACGCTGGGGCGTGTCACAACGGGGAGGGGTGGAGGAGGAGGTGGGTAGCCGGTCTCCGCCAGTTGTTGAAGCGAGCAAGCGATCCAGCCCCCTGACGCGTCCCAGCATCTGCAGCGAAAACGACAGCGGTTTTATGGCCTCATTCTTAGTTGAGCTCGAAAACTTTCTGGAATTTCTCGGAACAAAACTTGTTGGGTCGTAACTGCTGCAGCATTTGCCTTGCTAATTGTTTCTGTCTGGATGCGCATTCCTTTCTTAATCTCTTGGCAACTTCCCTCCAGTTTGAAGGGTTTTTTTGCACTGGTTTAGCACAAAATTCTCCGCAGGTTTCCTTGTCACGAATAAAATGAATAGAAAATATGAAATAGATGAGATGATGGTTACAAATATTTTGGAAGAAGTCGGAGGAAAACTGCTATCCCAACACTTGACTGACCTTTGGCATCAATCAGTGCCCATGAACCTCAGCAATAACGCCCAGAAACGACCTTAATCGCTCGTAAGGCGAACAAACATTACGTTTGATGTGGCGCTTTTTGATGGCTGAGATGAGCGCGCCTGCGCCACATTTGACGTGAACCTGAGCGCTTGCGCAACAGCGGCGGTGTGATCAGAGCGTATTGTTTGGTGCTCACACTTTCGCGGTCCAAGTGGTAACAGTAAGGGATGAGAGGTTTGGAAAGGTCGGTAACACCCTTACAGCTCAGAGGGAATCTTTTCTCGAACATCTGTTCGTCTGTCTAGGGGGAGGGGAGTAGGAAGGGACCTTTCCTTATCGCTGCAGTATTCAAAACCTGTGAGCTCGCGCGTGCGACTAGCTTTATTTGCCTTATATCACCTTCTTGGGCCCAATTTCAATCTTTCTTAGGATTGTCTTGGCTCTGCTTGACCCTTACCAGTCCTCTATTGGTTCTTGGGAAACGGAAAACGGAAAACTGTTCGTTCAGGAGTTGTTTGTTCTCGTACGCTTCTCCTAATCTTTGAGGCATACTGTGAGGCCTACCGGCGAGCTTTCCGGTTCAACGGTAGCGTGCGCGGCGGCATGGCTTTGAGTGAAAGTTCATGGCCTTTCATTCTCGTGCGCCTTCCGCCGCTATTTTCTAACAGCGGCAACTTGTAACGTGAAAAACTGTAAGCTTCACCTTTGAACCGAATTGCCGCGTCATTGTGCCGCGCGCACGTCGCATCGCTCGATCCTATCTTGAAATAATAAATTGCTGCCGCCGTCAAAAATGACAACATCGCCACAAAAGGATACCGCTCGTACCGTGATCGCCCTGCTTTGCTGCGTCGCCTGAGCGTCTTTCTGACGCAGCCGCGTCAAGTGTCATCGTAAATCAACCAAGATGTGTAACAGCCGATGGTTACGGCTAATATGGCACTGCAGATTAGCGAGGAGTTGACACGACGGCGGTCAAATCTTTTGAGTACCCTTATTCGTTGGTGTAATGGCCCATTTGAACCGCTCGATGGCCACTTTGGTAGCAACCTTTCAATACCGTTCTTAAGTGGACGAACGTAGCTGAAGTTGTCCTCCCGTGTCAAGTATTATTTTGACACGGGAGGACAACTCAGTACGGATTCGCCCACGAACGGATACCTCAGCTTACTTGACCTCCTACTTGGAAAATCCAAGATGAAAACCTGCGTGTCCAAACATGTGAATGCTCAATGTTAGATTGTGACGCAGCACACTCCAAGCGATCTACCATACCTTTTATGCAGGGCACGCCATTCGTGACAAATCACAAGCGGGAGGGGTCGTAATTTGACGTGCGAGGGGGGGGTCGTATGTGATCTTAGAAATTTTTTGATGTTGATTCTTGTTTAACGGACGCCACAGGAGAAGATTCCATTCGCTCCTAGTTGGGAGAGGGAGGGGGTGTATTTGGCTTCGAGAAGGAAATTTGCGGGCGTGGCGAAAAAAGCCTTTCTCCCACGCGTTGTTGCATTTTGCAAGTTTTTTTTTGTTTCAGATTCATTAGGTGTTTATTAATACCCCCCCCTCCACGCTGCGACAGCAAAAGTCCTGGGTAATAGAAAAACTAGGAACATACAGGGGAAACGGGGAAAAAGTGGTAGGAAGTTGGAAAATCTAGGAAAGTAACTAGATAAGGATGGGGAGGCAGTCCTATCAGAGATGGAATTAGGGGGGACGGTCGTATTTCTCAGGAATTTATCCCAACGCGATGGCGTGTCCTGCTTTTACGACCTCTTCGTTCCCTACTTTGGCAGCTAGCATGGTTTCCCCATGAAGGGAACGAGTCAGGAAGGGGTGATCGCAATGAAGAGCGACTTTCTTCACATGGTGTGGTCTGACAGATGCTAATGGATTTCAGCTCAATCGTTCGTTCGGGGTGATGAGGGAAAGGGGTCACAACTAGTCGTTAGATTAAAGGTAGGCCGTATTTAAACTGGGAAACTTTTCTGATTTTTGCTTTCTCCCGTTTACTTACTTCACTGTAGAGCCTCCAAGTTGGACGCGCCGTGAAGCTATAGCTGATCGAAGGTGATTTCCCCTCCGCGGCAAGTTTTCGGCGAAGTTTCGGTAAAATGCTCAAGGGTCGGCTGAAGAGGTCGTACCGGACAAGAAAGTCTGGGAATTCGGAGGGGTCGTACCCGGCAAAAATTCTCCCTAACTCCAGGACATGCCTTCTTACACTCGCACGTTTGCTTAACGTTATTCTCTTCGAACTTAGTATAGTGGAGATTCATTCTGATTTTTCCTTTCAATATTCGTTTCCTTTCCTGAGAATTTATTTTTTTTTCATTCTCTTCTTCCTTAAGGGCTTCGAATGCATCGCTTTCTAGTATCTACTCGTTTTCAGGAAGCAGCCGTTCGGCTCCTTGCACAACATTCCAAATCGCTACTGATGGCAAGTTCGAACTCAGCTTCAATTCCAGAACGGGGTTTTCTTCTAGCAATTTCCATTTGACTGGTTTTCTGGATGTGAATTTATTCATTTCATTAGATGAGCTTTATCTAACAGTACAATGTTTTTTTTACTTTCTTCTTACATTTCATATAGTTTCACTGCGTTGTGTTTAGTGTTCTTCTACGAGTTCATATCTATTCATGGCTAAATAATCCTTATTATTTCTCTTCTTTCATCATGTTATTCTTCCATTTCTGGTATGCTTTACCAAATCGATTCCTTATATAGGGTTTGGGTTACAAATGACCTCTTCTATATATGCAAGTTGTCTCTTCTTTCCTTCGGTTCTAGAGCATTAGTGGTTATCAGTCTTGTAAGAATATTGATTTTTATGTCGATGCAAAAGCGATCGATAGTCGCTTCATCGTCGTCGTGTCGTACAATACGACGTGTCTTTCTATATAAACTGTCATGTGTGCAAGCAAGGATGGGCGATGATGAATGTGGAGTGGAGCGGCAGCAAGGCAACCTTTTTTTCACCAATGAATGGCATTCTGGCCCACATACCCACGAAAAGGAGGACGGTAGCTCTGGCTGTCTTACAGCAATTGCCGGCAGTTACACTCACCCTATCGTTTGACTGGGAATCAATGGCTGCATGCCGTGTCGTAGTCTTTTTCTTGACATCTGTATGGTAAGAATCATGGAATGTGCAAGTAATCATGGAATTAGAATAATAATAGTAATGGTAATAAAGAGCTGTTAAGAGTGGTGTTATTACTACAAGCAGGGCACGCCATTTTGGTTGGGGCAAATGATATCCTGAAAAAACACGACCCCCGTGTTGGCATATAGAACTAGGAACGAGAGCATTCGCTGTATACGAGCCTGAGTTGTGCGTAGCTGTGATTGCGGACTGGAAATCTCAATATGTCAATACTGTTAGTTCTAACAGCAACGAAAAAATGGGTAGAACGAGGTCGAAAAACCGAAAAAAGAGTCGTTTCACAAAACGAGAATGTCATGGAATTAAAAACTCAGTCGACTGCCTGTACATTTCCACGGGCAGTTGATTAGGGCGGTCCGTCAATGCCGCTAGGCAGCGTGCCAGGAACACTATTTGCTTTTTCCAGGCTAATTTAGTCATTTTTTCCAACTTTTCACTGTTTTGGCTACTTTTCCCAGATTAGCAGCTCCTTTATCTTCACAAGGTGGAAAATGACTAATTAGCCTGGGAAAAAGCAAATAGTTCCTGGCACGCGCTGCGGCCCGTTGACGACCGCCCTAATCAACTGCCCGGATGAACGAGAAATATTACTTTACAGAAAAGACTCCTGCAATCTCTAGTTCGTCAACTGCGCAAAAAGAGAAGGGGTAGTCAAAAGGCTCGTTTTTTGTCGACTTTACACCTCAATTCGGTCAATGCAGAGAACAGAAAATAAAGCTCTGCCTTGTTATTGCGGTTCATAATAGTTTCTGAGTCGGCGTTATGGGGAACGGCGTTTCGAGCAAATCTGCGTTTCGGGAGAATCAACATTTAAGGCGAATCAGCGTCTTAGAGAGGAAAGTGTAGCAGAGGCACCGATCGGCGCCCAAAGCGCTGATTTGCTAAACACCTTTAATACACGAAAAGGCGATTATAGATTATCATTCTAAAGATGGAATCGATATCTACTCTATTCTTTATCCGCTCAGAACTCAATTCTCCAAAACGCCGATTTCACTTTAGAAGCTCTCGCGAACGCCGATCAGCTGGTTCTTCTCTGAACGCGCGAATCGGTAAAGTATGAACGGCTTAAAAAGAATTACGACGGCTGCAGGAAGGTAATACAAGGCCACTGTGAGCATTCCCGAATAACGTTTCTGCCGCGACCCGACGAATCGCAATTGTAACAGATGCTTCCGATTTAGGTGAAGATCGGATACGTCTAACACCAAAGTACCATGGGGGGCGGGAACAGAATTCAAATTTCATTTTTTTCCAGTTTCAATCAAACTTTATTCAAATATGAACGAGTCAGAGAATTAGGGCATGAAAAGGGGGAATCAAAAGAAGCATCTGAACCTGACGGAACGATTTCTTTACAACCGTACCTAACTGCATCAATCTATACCACGAGAGGGTTTGAGGAAATACTACATCATAGCTGGAATCGATTTATTGATAGTTTCTGCCATATCTGTTCAATTTCATCAAAATCAGTAACGATCGATATGTCGATTCCTTATAGAGTTCTTGCTAATACTGCACTAATACTTACAAGTACAACAAATATAATTTTTGAGGAAACAAAATGAACAAAGTCAAGTCAACATGATATTTTGTACAATGATGGTTAATTACTACGTTACACAGCTAATTTTGAGATAAGGCGATAAGCTAGGGGGCAATAACGCGCATTAACTGCGGTGGCAGGCTAATATGGAGTGCGCCAAAGGTAGTTATCCAGATTAACTACTAACTAACTGTTTTCTTACCAAGCGCAACACATATTTCAAAATTATGCTTTAGACATCGTATTGACAGTGGTCCTGCATGGAATTCCTGCGAATCGCTGACATGAACTAAACAGGAAGGGAAATTCTAGCGCTGGGCACTTATTCCTTTCTTACCCAGGCAAATACCAATAGTGAGAGCTCGTGGACTACTTGGACATCATTTCTTTGCGAATTTCAGAGCCACGAGGTGGTATCGATCGATTCTTCAGAAGACCTAATTCGCAGATGCATCGGTATTGATCGGGAATCTCCAGCAACGATTGTACAGCTAACTTCACATCGCCCTCAGATTGTCCAGACGCTCGCCGCATGATCTAAAAATAAATGTACAGCAATTCCGCTGACTGAATGGCTGGGGCGTGGCAGGGGGCTGGATGTGGCAAAGCGCCAACTGGTCCCTCAATTTTCGAAGTAGGAAAGCGGCAACAATTAGAGGAAATGGGCTGGCGCTGCGTCAGACACAGGTCTCCTGGCACGGCCCAGCGTCTGACACCAAAACGTGGGTATTTGGGAAACACAACCCTGAACATTGGAGAAGCACCGCCAGCCGGGATTGATGGTCATAAAAAAGGGCGGAGATCTCATCTCTTGATTCTGCCTTGCTCGCCCTTGCCTGGACAATTTCAAAAAACGATCAAGGGATGAGGTCTCCACCCAACTTTTTCTTTTTCACTAGCTTTCACGGGCGCTGATGTTGTTCTGAGAAGGAATCCGAGTCCAGATTGAAATTATTAATAATGGACTGTAGCAAGCTGAGACGCGTGCGGTCGCGCTATGGCAAGTCAACTCACACAAGCAGGCTGCCAAATAAAAATGACACAGATAGTGCTGAATTTATTCACCTCATGGAACTCTGTGAAGTGGAAGTTGTCCCATGGACGTTTGGGTAAAGACTCGTCGAATACCTAAATAATATGCTTGAATACTGAGACCTGGTGGTGGAATAGCTGAGTAACTCGTAAACTCCCCTTAACAACTAACAAGTTATGAGCCGAAAAACCTACCCTCATCATTTCCCATGGCCCATCACCCACACCAACGACAATAATCGATAACGGGTACTGGCAGGCCTGCACAATTGCACGTCGTGTGGCACGTTCATTGGTTACTTGACCGTCGGCAATGATTACCAGAATGTGGTACTGTAAATTATGAGGTAAAGATATAAAGTCACACCTCGCGGCTCTCTGAGGTTCATAATTCGAGACTCGAGCAGTTTAGTTGCACGGTTCAGAAATAGCTAGTTGTTGAATCGCTTGAGGAGCGAAGTATTAAAGGCATTTGGCACGATGATTTGGAACTTGGCCTAAAATGCTAGTAGGGCGCTATATAGTGGGGAAATGGCGAAAGAACGGAGTGAAACGGTCAAAATCCTGCGAAGAAAAAGCCTCCGTTCTCAGTGACTTGAAATCAATTTTGGACGAGTTTCCCGTAGGCATCTTGCCAATCAC